GTTTAGGCACATGGAGAACAAATGATAAGGTTAGGGCATGTGATGTTTTGATGTTTCCCTTTCCTGTGATAGGGGCAAGAGAGCCATCAACAAAGGATTTTTTTTCTCGGTCAGAAAGGAGCTAGTAATAGGTGAACAAGTGTGAAACAATAGTCATGTGGTCAGAGGCACCAGAATCAATTATTCAATGGATTTTATGAGCACTTGAGATAAGAGCATGATTTATAGTGGCACGAATACCTGGGTGCGCATATGCAAAGGAATGAACTGTCTTTGATGAAGTAGATGTTGTAAACTCCAAATGACTGATTATTCAGCCATACTTCTCATATTCAGCCCTGACAGTTGCAAGTTGCTCTCCCATTAACTTCTCACCATTCTGCCCCTGTTCACTCTATGAGGAGGTGGCTACATTTGCATTTCCACCTTTTCCACTCTCAATCATTTTTCTATTATTTTCTTTCTTGAGTTTAGCAGGTATAAGCTCTAGGTGCAACTTCCAATAGGTGTCTTTAGTATGTTTTTCTTTCAGTACTCATAGATAACATCTTTCTTTCCAGTGTTGACCTTCAACTTCATCCCGACATTAGCATAGCGATCAACCTGTGGCTCTACAAATTGAACCTGTCTTCTTCTCTTCTCACTGCTCACCATAGAATAAGCCAAAACATTCTGCCTCAAAATATCATACTCCAGATTGAGTATAGTGAGGAACTGAAAGACCCGATTTCTCTCTGCCAACTTCCTGTGTGTTTTTGCGTCCTTTATACAACCCTAAACAACAATCTCCATCAAATCAATCTCCTACTGAAGAGATATCAGCATGGAAAGTAGACGACTAAGGGAATCCTCCCTGTCTTAGAATATTTACATAATTCTTTAATTTGTAGGCCCGGGCAACATTCAGCTTTTGGGAATATCTCCATGACACTATCCCACACTTCGTTTGCAGTTTCCATCCGCAAGTGATTTAAAAGGCGCACCTCAAGCACGCCTAGGCGCACCTCAAGCACGCCTAGGCGCACAAGCGAGGTGCATTTTAGGGTAGGCGCCTCGCCCAGGTCCTAAGCGTAGCCCTTTCAAAAGCCGCACGCCTGGTGCTTCAGCCCAGGCTTGCACCTTTTCAAAATTTGACGCTTTTTTTTTTCTTTTTTTGAACCTAGCGGCTGGGTCGGGGGCTCCACCCCTGACTTCCGTGCCACGCCTCCCGAGGCAAGCCCAAACAAGTCCATGTTAGGGTCTTAAATTCTTAGTTCTCACACAAAAAATAATGATTTTATAATTTTAATTAATGTTGTTCATTCATTCATCCTAATAAAATATCTTCTTAGAAAGGAATTAAAATTATAAAATCATTATTTTTTGTGTGAAAACTAAGAATTTAAGACCCTAACATGGACTTGTTTGGGCTTGCCTCGAGGGGCATGACACAAAGGCGGATCGTAGAATCAGGAATGTAATATGTTTTACATCACATTAGCTACTTGAAGTAATGCAATTGAGGAAAAAAAGAGATTGTGGGTTTTACATGTTTGAAAATGTTTTATATGTTTGATTTTATTTTTAAATTCTCATATGAATATGCTTTACATGTTATGTTTATGTATTTTAATTTTGGATAATAGGTTTTTAAAATTATTTATTTTAAAATTTAAGTTTATATTTTTTATTAATATTATGTTTAATATTTTTTTTTGATTTTTTGGCATTTTTTTATTTTTCTGACATTTAGTTTATTTTTTATGATTTTTTTATTTTTTATTTTTGCACCTTGCTTCAAAAAGGTGTGTGCCTCACCTTGTGCTTTTTTGCGCCTTGCGCTTTTAAAATACCTAGTACTGACTGTTATGTGGCTGTATAGAGTTCACTAACCAACCCAATACTGTGTAGTTTTCTTGCATCCACCTTTCATAGGTAGGGTCGTCCTCCTCCAGTTTCTTATTGTCCTGGTAATGTACCTCCATTTCCCTCTACTACACATCTATTTTAATTGACTGATACCAGGTTAAATAATTGGTTCCATCCAACTTCATAGTGGTCACTATCCCTAACGGAGTCTCCACAAGCCCCCCATATCTAAGCCTAGAATTTGTGGCATATTTGGCTTCTCCTCTAGTTTGATCCATCGAGTGAACGAATGCAAACGAAAATCAAATTAAGGTTTTACTAGGCTAGATTTGCTATTTCAAGCAAAGAACTGCTCTTTAATCACCCAAAACTAGGGTTTCATAAGACCCGACAGGATGTGAGGAGAGAAAGTTCAACTGCTCCTACCAGAGGTTTCAAAACTCTGTCCAACACAAACCACCTTAATAGAAATCAAAGAGCTCCCCTTTGATCCCTAAGTGCTAGCTTCAAAGTGTCTCTAGGACCTGTAACAAGATTTCTCTAGTTATCTAGGGTTTTTGGGAAAAAGCTCCAAGAACCTGCCTTGGGCTTCAACTAAGGATGAAAGTCTCCACAAAACCTCTCCAAAAACCCTCCTAACTGGGCTAGATAAGCTATTAATTGATCAGCCAACCAGTTCTCATTGTGTATGGGCTAAGAAAGGAGAAAGATATTGAAGGTGAGAACCCGTTCTGATACCAAGTTGTGAAACACACTTGCAACAATCTGAATAAAGAAAAACCAAACAAAAGAGAAGAAGAAGATTGGAGATAGAAAAGTAAAGGAGGAAGAAGATGGAAGAAAGGGAAGAACAAGAGAGAGAGTTTTAGACCTCTTCCCAATGATCTCTTTTATTCTTTTGTTGTAAAAAATAAAGACAATTACATGAGTGCCCTTAGTAGGGCGTCCATCACTAAAGACAACAATAAAAAGCAATAAAAAAAAAAAAAAATAGGCCCATAACTAAGGCCCACCACCTACTAAAACAAGTTATATGAAAGAATGGTAGGATCCATCGTATGGACGCCAAAAAGGTTGCGGAATGGGTGGGCGAATTTCAAAAATTTCCTACCTTCCAACTGGGAATCGTATTCCCTGATTTTAGAATCAAGATTCAAGGATCCTACTTGAACCAAACCAGACCAGATCTGAACCAAGAACAAAGGGAAGGGTTATACCTGATACAGAGAATCAAGATCTCCCAACGTCGGTGTTCACGCCCAAAGAAAGATCCAAGATCAGCTCTCGCTGAAGATGACACAACGATGGTGGGGCAGAACCAACAGTGTACGTCCCACGTACCGAACTCTTCACAAGAATCTGTTGGAGGCTTAGAGCACCGAACCAAACCAGTCTTTCAGCAAAGACTGATATCAAGAACAAGCTTCTTGATCCTCCCTTCAAAGGAGTTCGAACCAAGCAGTAAGGTGGCGGCGTCTGGAGGAGTTCCTAAGGCTAAAAGTGGCGTGGATGCAGATTTGAGCTTAGGGAAAGTGAGATCCTTTCTCAGATTGCAGAAGTTGTAACTCCAAAACCCTAGGTCGAATTCTTGTAATTCTAGATTAGGGTTTCCTCCTTTCTTAGTGATTAAGAAACCTCCTAATCCCATTAGGAGTTATCCCAATCCAAATCT